GGTGCAGGTGTCGTCACTAATAGCGGCGGTACTATGGACTACACACCAATGTACTCGCCCTATCCACCGACCCTTCCTCAGCGTTGGTCGACTCAGCCGGGTTTGGACTACCTCCAACCCTACTTGCCTCTCCTACCTACACATCCCCCAGCTACGACGGAAGAAGCGGCCGTAACAGCATCTTCTGTGGTGGTTTCGGCGGCTGATGTTCAACCTCCACCGCTTAAACAATCACGATGTATAGTGCAGCCAGATACTTTCAGTCAGGTAACAACAAGGACTTCAGATTGCAATACTAATCAGGACGACGATCCCATCGCCACGTTCAAAAAGAACGTAGAAGAGAGGGATGACGAAGATGAGGAAGAGGAGGAAGGAGATGGGGAAGAGGAGAATGCTTCTTCAGGAGATGAAAACGCTGAAGTGTCCCCGCTTTAATTCGATGCTGTGTGGTCTGCATCTTCCCTTTCTAAATACCTTTATGCATATATATATATATATATTACCCCCCTTGTGCACATGAAATTGATGCTGGAGAAGGCTGCTCCTGAGTTTTCTCTTCCGCTCTTCCGTGGTTGTCTCTTCTTAGTTCTTTGTAGTCTATGGAAATTGAAGTATCATTGAGTGGAAGGCTTGTACACTACTTATTATGTTGCTTATCCTCTTGAGTAGTTGGTCGTGCATGATACCGTTGATTACGTATATTTTTAGCGGTCTGCGCGTGAATTTGTCATGTTTCTTTGTGGAGATGTTTAGATGCAATCAATTAGGAAATTTAAGTTATTTGACTAGACAGGGGCTTTATGGGGTTACAAATCTGGTGATATGCCTTGGAGGTGTTTGTTAGGTTATCAGGCGGACTTCTAGCACTTCCGTGTAAATAACAGGATCTGCGGACGAGGGGTGGTCTGTGGTGGTGTCCTTCTACTCTTTTTAATGAGTAGGGCAGGTGTTTTACCCGTTTCATTGCAAGTGCGGGTCAATTTGATTTCACACTCGATGTGTGCAAAAGGTTCTTTCAAGCACGAAAGTATTTTGAATGCAACACTTGAAGGGCATATGCGTAAAGAATGGTGCTGGTTTAAGGTAGTCAACTTTATAGGTGGTAGAGTCCTCATCAGAGGTACTGTCAGAGGAGTTAACATTGGTCCTGCTTTGACTCGCAACGACGATAGCTAGTACGAATCGGCATGTTGGTAGCAGCAACAAATAGTGAGGACTGCGAACCACAAAAATGGAAGCATGTTCGTTCAAACAAATAATAAGTGGAATGAGTTTTTATTGCAATATCTCATGGGTAACTTGGCTTCGCGGAGAAAATTGCTTTAACAACGCTTAACTGTTTCGATAAGGTTAAGTAGTGGCATCTAGCCTTTAGTGTCCACTAACTAGTGTCACAACATGGGTTGCTTCCTCGTATGTCTGTATTAGTTAAAGTCTAAGTCTATCGTGAAGTGGTTTCCTTTATTTAAGTGAAAATAAAAAGGCGCCGATGTTTGCATGCCTCAAATGAACTCCCACTAAAATATGTTACGCTCGTCATCTTTGTAAAGTTGATCTATCTTGCAATAGGTATGGCAATAAACACTGCATCTAGATTCAAAAAGATGTGGAACGGTAGTAAATACGGATCGCACTATAAAACCGATGAAATGTAGGCGTTAACTACAGCCTATGCAAAATTTTGCCCGAGCTTCCTATTTTTTGCCTCACTAGTAGTTGATAATTCTGAGCATTCAGTACTTTAAGAGGAGAACTGCAGACATCGCTGAATCCGAGAGAAAAATTTAACTTTTGAGGCTTTACGATCACATGGTAAGGGCGAGTCTAATCGCATGCGCACACGCATATCAGTATCGCTATCCCTATTGACAGACTGGAATCACGGTTAAAGCAATTGTTTTACATAATGCTTTATTCATTTTTTAGTTTGATGGCGTTGATCAAGTGTGCAACGCCTAACACCGAGATACACCATTCGACAAACTTATTTCGCGAAGTTATTATACAGCACTGAAATCGTTATAAATTGTGTAGTCACGATAATTGTACCAAGAAAGCAGTTTAGGATAGTACACAGGACTCTTAAACGCAACCAAAGATTGAGAAATCACTTCCAAATACTTCCGTGTCTGAGTGCACAGTAACCGTAACGGAAAGCATCGGATCCGCCACATTGGACGCCAGCGACAGTAGCTGGCTGAACCTCTCGATTCAATGCTACTCACACTTTGAGGTGACTTCCAGCGCTACCGCAATCCGTTGGAGTACCACTTGACTCGTCAAATATGCACTATTTAAGCGCCAGTTGGTACTCAGACTCAGGCTACGCTGGTGACACCATCGTCACCTAGCAGGCACGTTCGAGTTGAGCAGACTGCGCCATCCACTTACCACAATATTATATGACACTGATTCTGCGGGTACACGCCACAACACAAATATTGTAATGTTTTCTTTAAACTTAAGACAGATCCCACAACACACTTTAGAACAACACTAAAAACTACACCGAAGCATGAGAAGTAGAA